ACAAAAATTGGTAGAGCCTCTCATCGCCACTTGGCAACTAGTTAGGTTCCCAAGTCACCAATTTAGCTTGTTATTTTGCCGCTTGGCATAACCTGCGGCAACACTATGATTGGCCAGATCTCGTGAGACACATGGTCTGCAGCTCTGCACATTGCGGAGCTGCAGACCTGTGTTTGCGATTGGTGCTCTCTGGCCGGGCAGGCTGGAGGGGCCTCGCACCCGAATGCATAAAGAGCAAGCTGCCGGGACCCCTCCTGGTGTCTGGTCCTCGGTCACTAACCGAGGATCTGACACAGTCTGCCCTAAGGCGATTTTTGTGGCCGCGAGGCCCCAGGCAGCACAAGGTCTTAGGCGGCCTCCTAAATTGCCTAATTAGAGATCTGCCTCTAACCACAGTCTAGCACCTGGTATTAAAACAGTGATTGCATTAAAGCAGGAGTGCAAGGCAAGCTTGAACTGTATATATTTGTATGTGTGTAGTGTATATATATATATATACACACATACACATTACATGGCACAGGGACTTATGGCTGGCATACATTTTTTTTCAAGGGCTGCTTTGAATTCCCAGTCCGGCCCTGAATGTACTGCAGCTTCAGGATAGCCTCCACCAATCAGGAGCCTCTAATTCGGGTCTGGGGACAACGTATTTATGCACAGCCCACTTTACAGTGTGTGCTGTATCTAGCAGGCATAACTTCTGATGGCCATGGGTCTGCACTCTCTCTCAAGAGGAGAGAGTAGTGAATAGTAAACCTTGAGTAAATAAAACAGTATAGAAGTCAAGCTATACTAGATATTTCATAAAAAGCAAGAGAGTCAAAATATTATGCAAAACAGCGCAAAACAGTAAAAAACAACTGAGCACGAATTAATGGATATTAAATAGTAGAAAATAAACTTAAAATGAAAGAAAGTCCCAAGAGTATATATTCTTTCCTTGAAGGACACTCAGATGGAACTTCTTATTGCAGCTTGGATCCATAGGTATACATAAAACAAAACACAAGGTAGAGAGGATCCAATAGTACGTCAGTTAAAATGGGACACATTGGATCATCTCTACCTATTGTTTTCTGTACCTATGGATCCAAGCTACGATGAGGAGTTCCATCTGCGTGTCCTTCTAGGAAAGAATATAACACATACAAAAACCAAACAAATTATAGTAAAAAATATATATATATTTACTTAGTTTTATATTTTAGGTATCTCTTAAAGGAACACCATAGGCACTTAGACCTCTTTAGTTCATTGCCTCTAGTGTGTGTCATCAGAGGCTCTTCCTGGTTGCTAGGCGACTTTTGGTTGCCTAACTGATGCTGGATGTCCTCACGCTCTGCATGAGGGAATCCGGCTCTGGTAAAATCCCCATAGGAAAGCATTGAAATATGCACTTTAGTCACCCCCCACCCCCTATTGGATGACGTTGGAGAAAGCAAAGTGACAACCCAGTGCTGAGGGAGATCATCACTGGAATTAGGCAAGTGTTAAAAAGTGGTTTTTTTTTAACCCTTTATGACTCTGGGGTGCTCGAGGGAGGGGGGAACCAGAGGATTCTAATTTGTATTCCTTATTCTATAGAATCCTTTTAACAGCTTTCTGTACACAAAATTGCAGTCTTATCCTAGGTTTATGCGGTATGAATGTATATTTACAAATACTTAATATGCTATTTTTTTCACATTAACCCCTTAACCCCTTAACCACCAAACTTCTGGAATAAAAGGGAATCATGACATGTCACACATGTCATGTGTCCTTAACTAAGGACAAATAGCATATTAAGTATTTGTAAATATACATTCATACCGCATAAACCTAGGATAAGACTGCAATTTTGTGTACAGATAGCTGTTAAAAGGATTCTATAGAATAAGGAATACAAATTAGAATCCTCTGGTTCCCCCCTCCCTCGAGCACCCCAGAGTCATAAAGGGTTAAAAAAACCCACTTTTTAACACTTGCCTAAGGGGTTAAGGACACGTGACGGAAATATTCCGTCATAATTCCCTTTTATTCCAGAAGGTGTGTCCTTAAGGGGTTAAGAACTCCATTGTGAATAGGTTAATTTTCATATTTAAATTTTCTATTTCTGAGCCTGATTAGAAACAGTATAAAGTTTTCTAAGTTTTCATACAATTCTCCAATAACCACCCTACAACTAACGTATTACCATCTAGATTGTGGGTGTTAAATACAAGCCATATGTTCTGTCTGCATTAGTGCGCTTCTTTAAGATAAGTGATGAAAGTGAAGAGACATTTGGGCTACGCTTATGTGTGATTTACTGACAAAAACCTGTATTGACATTATTTTAATGTACATATGGTGTCAAAATAAAAAGGTTAAAATATGTGTAGCTTGGCAATGTGATACACCCACAACTCATCCTCTTTAGTTCTGTTTAATGTGACTGACACGATTAGAACTAAACTAAAATGAAATAGAAGAAACTAAATAGTGACAGCAGTAATTCTGCATCTGTTTCAAATCAACAGACAAGAACTTGAAAATTGCTTGTTATTTAGCTCATTAAGGGCAAATCACATCTAATTCTTTGCACTTACCATGGCTGTTGAAATGGCATTTATGTGGCCTTGCAATGCAATGCATCCCCTTTATTCACTCTCCTAACTCTTTACCTGGTATTCACATGTGTAAGTCTAGACACATTGCATCAGTCACAAAATTAAAACCGCTGGCAGGTGAAGTGAATACTATTGATTATATTGTTACAAGGGGTAGGATATATTAGGTATCAAGTGAACAGTTAGTTCTTGAATTTCATGTGTTGGAAGCAGGAAAAATGGTCAACCGTAAATATCTGAATGCCTTTGACAAGGGTCAAATAGACATCTTGGTCAGAGCATCTACAAAACAGTCTTGTGGCGTGTTCCCGGTTGTATAGTTGTATAGTGTTTAGTATCTACCAAAAGTGGTGCAAGGAAGGACTAGTGAACCAGCGTCAGGGTCATGGACGTCCATGCCTCATGGATACACATGCCCATGATGATCCCAGTCCACTGCCAAAAGCGCCTTCAATAGGGACTTGAGAATCAAAACTGGACCATTGAGCAATGAAAGAAGGTTAATAAAACAAATAATAAAATAAACAATGGAACAAAAAGTAAATACTATAGAATATATAAAATTAAATAAAATACAATAAAAAATAAGCAATACATTATAGTCCAGAAATTCTTCTAATGGCCTTAGTTCTTTTGTTGTCTCTTCATTCCTCTTTAGGTGGATATATGGATATATGGATAGAAGAGAGAAAAAGAGGACCTTGAGTCCTGGCATTCATGTGGATGTTCCTTTGATACGTTCCATCTACCTAGATATTGTTGCAGATCAACATATACCACATGGCAATGATGTTCCCTGATGGCTGTATCTATTTCAACAGGATAATGGACTCTACCACACTGCAAAGATTGTTCAGGAATGGTTTGAGGAACATGACAAAGAGTTCAAGATGTTGCCTTGGCCTCCAAATTCTCCAGATCCCAATACGATGGAGCAGTTATGGGATGTGCTGGAACAACAAATCTGGTTCATGGAGGCCCTAGCTCGCAACTTCTAGGACTTAAAGGTTCTGCTGCTAATGTCTTGTGTCAGATACCACAGGACATGTTCAGAGGTCTTGTGTAGTTCATACCATAGGCGTGCGCACGGGGTGTGCCGGTTGTGCCTGGGCACACCCTAATCCCCGTGGCACGCCTATGGTTTGAGTCCTGCAGGAACAGTGTTCCTGCACTTTTTTGGAGCAGGAACGCTGTTCCTGCAGGCACTCAGCGCCCCCTGTTTCACCTCTTGCCCCTGTCATGGGGGGGCAAGAGGTGATGGATCCCCCCCATTTCTGCAGCTCAGCCGCGGCGAGGGAGCTGTCTGCTCTCTGCTCCCTCTCGCCGCGCGCTGATGACGGGAGCCGGAATATGACGTCATTTTCAGGCTCCCAGCTACAGCAGACAGCCCGCGCGGTGAGAGGGAGCAGAGAGCAGACAGCAGACAGCTCCCTTGCCGCGGCTGAGCTGCAGAAATGGGGGGGCCCCACTGGACCCCAGGGAAAAGTCCATGCCAGCACTCCAGGTAGGAGGCTGGGTGGACATTTTTTTAAATTTAAAATATAATAATTTGTTCTTGTGTGTGTCTGTGTGTGTGTGTGTCTGTTTGTGTGTGTGTCTGAGTGTGTGAGTGTGTGTCTGTGAATGTGTGAATGTGTGTCTGTGTGTCTGTGTGAGTGTGTGTGTGTCTGTGTGAGTGTGTGTCTGTGAATGTGTGTGTGTCTGTGAGTGTATGTATGTATATGTGTGTGTGAGTGTGTGTCTGTGAATGTGGGTGTGTCTGTGTGAGTGTGTGTATGTGTGTGTCTGAATGTGTCTGTGAGTGTGTGTGTGTACACATATATATATATATATATATACACACACACACACAAACACGCAGAGCCGGCGCTATCTGAGTGCCGGCTCTGTTCTAAGCGTCCATGGGCCGGCGGGGAGACCAAAGATCTACCTCACCGGCCCACAGCAGCATGGAGGGAGGCAGGAGAGGACCCAGGGAGCTCTAGACAGAAGTTCCGCCAGGTTCCTCTCGCGATATCGGAGCGTTGCTGCGGCAATGCTCAGATCTCGCAAGAGTTAACTCTAGCCCTGCAGGCTAGAGTTCACTCTCCACTGGACCACCAGGGATGGCACATGGCAGCAAGGATTTAATAATCTGCCAAATCCCTCCAAACATACAGCACACACACATACAGCATCTACACACATACAGCTCACACACACACAGTACACTAACCGCACCCTCACAAACACACACAGCACCTTTAAAAAAAACACAACACCCTCACACACAGCACACTAACAGCACCCTCACAAACACACACACACACAAACAGCACCCTCACAAATACACGACACTCACACAAACAGCACCCTCACAGGACAAACATACACACACAAACACCCTCACACACAAACAGCACAGTCACACACACACACACACACACAAACACCCTCACATCACACTAACAGCACCCTCACACACACATCACACTAACAGCACACAGCACACTAACAGCACACACAGCAGTGTATGTGTGTGTGTGTGTGTATATATACGCGGCGTGTGTTTGTGTTTTAGGGTGCACACCCTAATGCAATAGGCTGTGCACGCCTATGGTTCATACCTCGATGCATCAGAGCAGTTTTAGCAGCACGAGGGGGACCTACACGATATTAGGCAGGTGGTTTAAATGTTTTGGCTGATCAGAGTATGTGTTGCTAATTCTGTGAAGAACCATTATTTGTTTTACAGCATGTAGGATGGGACACTATGGCAGATTAGAACATCAATTATATCCCTTTCCATGTCACATACCCAATTAGCTCCCTCCCTCCATGTCCTGTATTCTATTACCTCTCTCCCTCCATGTATCGTGCCTTATTAACTCCCTACTACCATGTCGCATACTCTCCCCTATATCTCTTGTCTCATTCATTGCCCAGCAGTGGAGGGTTTAGTTCATTTATAAACAATCAGCTGATGCTCTCAGCCAATAAGCTGACCTTGCATTTATCTCAAGAGAGCTGTTGGAAGTATCATGCAGGTGATTCCAACTCTCAATAGAGGATGTGACTCGCACTTTGTGGGCTCCAGGTAAGAAGTCAAATACTTAGTAAATGGTTTGACTTCTAACATGGGGTGGGGGTATTATAGAGAAAACCTATACCATTACATATACAGTTTGCAAATCAGATTGGGTAGTTCAGATCTGAAATGATGGCAAGTTCTCTCTGCACAAGAGATACAGCAAGCCAAGATAACAGTTACAGCCTCCTTTGGGCCATCAATGAGGTGGAGCTGAGTCCATTCTTGGTACAGTGAGCATGGGTCTATATCTGGATGACCCTTTTAACTTAGAGAATCTCAAAGCAAATGTACTAAAGCAAAACACACCAAAAATATGAAAACAATGTAACAATATAAATGGACAAGAACTCAGTAGTCCTTTATAAAGACCTTCTCCTCTTGCTCCTGTGCTGGTGCACCAACCTGCCCAAGAGCCCACAAGAGTCCAAGAATTTATTTCTGTGTATGCCTCAATGAGAGCATTCCTCATGGACATATGTTTGGCAAAGCTTTACATTGCCTCTCTCTACTACTCCCTGTCACACTCTCTGATTGTGGCAGATTACATGGCTGCAACCTCAGATACGGTTTGTCATGTTCCATTTACAGCCGCTGCACCTATCCTTCATAATGTTAAGAATAAAGGATTTTGCAGAGCTCTCTTGGATCTCAGATAATTACACTCTATTTTCTATGGTACACCATTCATTGCATACTGATGTTATGGGTTCCAAACAAGCAATTTACAAATTACACATCATATCATACATATCTTGTTTATACAATGATTCACAGAAATTAGCAGTTATACCATAGGTATTTGGGTTTGTGTGTCTGAGTTACTATACGTAGCTCTACCTTTGATAGCTGTATGTTCATTGCGAGATTTCCATTCCTTGTGCCTGACAATCTGGAGTTACTTGGGTATCTGCGACCCCAACACCTTTTATCATTAAATTAGGGTATAGGATGAGTAACCCTGCACCTGTGCACCTGTTAGAGGTAATGATGAGAATCTTGTGTGTATCTTGTAAAGGGGGGGAAATCAAATCAAAAGAGGGGAATACAAAACAAAGGGTAAACGTAAGACCGTAGGGCTTTGTAGTAAACTAAGTGTCCTTAGGTAGACTTAACTGTACTTGGCTATATCTAGTGACTTAGGGTTGCGTACTTTAGATGCCAATGAATTTGAGTTGTATGCGATTAGCTTTCCAACTTGCCAACCTCTTAGTGTGGTCCTCTCCAATCTATAGGCCATTTGTTTGTACTCTGAGGTGGACTCCACTCTATTCCACACATCTAAGAAAGATGGGGCATGTATAGCCTAGTTTTTGCTGCCAAAAGGAGGTGTATGGCAACATACCCTTGTTGTGCTGATAGAATTTCTGGGGATAAGTGAAGGAGATAACATTCTGGTTTAAATGGTACTTTATGTGGTGTTATCAGGGAGATAGCTCTCTCCATCTGCTATAAAGTACCACTGTGGAGTCCGCACCTTCAGCACAATGGTGAGACACCTTGATACATTGTCATTAGCCAGGCCGGAACTAAGTACCACCTCATTAGTATCTTACAATATGCCTCAGAGTGGGAAAAGCTATGAGATGCAATCCTCGTTGTTTGTATTGCTTGGAGCCATATTGGGGTTGGTAGTGATATGTTAAAATCTTTTTCCCACATCTCTACATATTTGTGTTTGTGTAATGGGTCCGCGTCATAATTGTAGAATAGCATAGGGAAAGCGCTTTTGCTTTTGTGCGTTTACCTATGCAGAATAAGCCAAAGGTTGTAAGTTGCATTTCATCACGTTGTATGTTATGCGTTTGTATTATGTGCTTGAGCCTTGTGTATGTAAAGATGTCCCTAGAGGGGAGTGCAAACTCTTTTTGTAGCTCTGGGAATTATTTTAGGCCCCCTGTTGTATACAAGTGTTTTATGGATAGCACTCCTTTTTGCATCCAGAACCCCATGGGGATGTCTTCTGACAGTGCCAAAATTGCCTTTGTGGGTGCAAAATAGAGAAGGTTGTCTGTCCCTATTAATTTGTGGGCACAAGCCTTCCAACTGCTCACTAGGAATCGGATACTGGTCATGGACCTGTGTCTTTTGCTATCCCATTTTGAGAATGTCCAAAGCATATATGCTATCGTGGTTGGGTGTAGTTCCCAACAGGGTCTCCAGTCCATGTGCTAGAACTACTGCTCTATAGTATGCTTTAACATTTGGGATGCCAAAGCCTCCTTTGGATGGCAGCAGCCATGTTAGTCGTTTTGCTATCCTCTGGGGCTTTTTCTTCTCCAAATGTAAGCATTAAAAATATCCTGAAGTCATATTAGAAGTTTATCACATAGAGCTAGGGGGATGGTGCGAAATAAGTATAGGATATGAGGTAGAGCCATAATCTTGATAGTGTTTACCCTCCCCAACCATGAGATGTCTAGGTCCTGCCATCTATCAAGTTGTGTCTGCAGTTTGTGCATTAGTGGGATATGATTGTCCTGAATAAGATGTGCATCTGACCTTGTTAAGATTTTGCCAAAGTATTTTAAGGAGGTTTTCCTCCAATCAAAGGGGTGTTGTTATTTGAGTGTTTGTAGATGAGGGAATACCTATGGGTAGCGCCTGTGTTTTTTTGAGGTTGTTTTTGTAGTATGAGATCTGTCCATACTGTTCAAATTTGCAATGGATGTTTGTGGGTGTGTAAGAAATAGTGGTACATCATTTGCGAAAAGTGCATTTTTTTGCACCCTGGCTGGAGTTACATAGTTAGATAGTTACATAGCTGAAAGGAGACTTGCGTCCATCAAGTTCAGCCTTCTTCACATATGTTTTTGCTGTTGATCCAAAAAAACCTAGTCTGCAGCGCTTCCAATTTTGCAACAACTACGAAAAAATTGCTTCTTGACCCCAAAATAGCAGTCAGATGTCTCATTGGATCAAGCTGCTATTACCCCACTAATTAGAAATTATATCCCTCTATGTCATGTTTTTGCAAGTATTTATCCAATTGCAGTTTAACCTCTTAAGGACACATGACATGTGTGACATGTCACGATTCCCTTTTATTCCAGAAGTTTGGTCCTTAAGGGGTTAAACATCTGTGTGGACTCTGATAAAACCACCTCTTCAGGCAGAGAATTCCATATCCTTATTGCTCTTACTTTAAAAAAAAAAACAAGCCTTAATGTGTGACCTTGTGTCCTATGTATAGCCATGTTTATGAATAGATTTCCAGATAATGGTTTGTACTGGCCCCGAATATATTTGTACAATGTTATCATATCCCCTCTGAGGCGCCGTTTTTCCAAACTAAAGAGATTTAAATGTCTTAACCCTTCTTCGTAACTAAAATGCTCCATTCCTTTTATCAATTTTGTAGCTCGTCTGTCCTCTTTCTCTAGTGCCATGATATCCTTCTTTAGAACAGGTGCCCAAAATTGCACAGCATATTCAAGGTGTGGTCTTACCAGCGATTTATAAAGAGGCAAAATTATATTTTCATCCCAAGAATTTATGCCCCTATTTATACAAAACAAAACCTTACTGGCCTTAACAACTGCAGATTGACATTGCATATTGCTGCCTAATTTGTTGTCTATAACAATTCCCAAATCCTGCTCATGTGTGGTTATCCCTAATTCACTACCATTTAGGGTGTAAGTTGCTTGTGCATTCTTGACCCCGAAGTGCATAACTTTGCATTTCTCTACGTTAAATTTCATCTCCATTTTAGTGCCCAATCTATCCAAATCCCTCTGCAGCAAAGCAATATCCTGCTCACATTTTATCACTTTACAAAGTTTTGTGTCATTTGCAAACACTGAAACATGGCTTTCAATGCCTTTTTCAAGATAATTTATAATTTATATATGTTAACTAGTAGCGGTCCCAAAACAGAACCCTGAGGGACACCACTTATCACTTTTGTCCAGCCTGAAATTTACCATTAATGACAACTCATTGTACTCTATCCTTAAGCCAATGTTCTACCCAAGAACAAGAATAATCATCTAGACCAATTTCTTTTAGTTTGAAGACTAACCTATTGTGAGGAACCGTATCAAATGCCTTGGCAAAATCCAAGTAGATCACATCAACTACTACACCATAATCTATACTACTACTTACTTCTTCGTAGAATGCAATTAGGTTAGTTTGACATGACCTATGTTTCATAAAACCATGCTGATTATTGCTAATAAGTTCTTCCCAATTAATTCCTGAATATTATCCCTTAATAGCCCTTCAAATATTTTCCCAGTCACAGAAGTTAAGCTCACAGGTCTATAATTTCCAGGCAAGGATTTTGAACCCTTTTTAAATATAGGAATGACATCTGCCTTCCTCCAATTCTCTGGTACAATACCTGAAACAAAAGAATCTTGAATAATTAAATACAGAGGTTCACTTATTTCCCCACTTAGCTCCTTAAGTACTCGTGGGTGAATACCGTCAGGCCCCGGAGCTTTATTTATATTCGTTTTCTTTAACAGCTGTAGCACCTTGTCTCGAGTTATCCAATCACAAGTTATCTGCAAGTTTTTTGCAGCAATCATTTGCATATCTCTTG